TTTTTTTTCCTTCCCTGCAGAGGGGATTTTTACCAAATATATTTAAAATGTTGTCTTACCGGCCTTTGGAATTCAGAGCCTTCTTTGCTTATTACAATGTCATCTTCAACAAGGAAACAGGTAAATGGAAAAATATTGCTAAATCATTCTTGGATGAGATCCAGGTGCCTGCTTGCTAGAGTTCTTTCCCACATAGTCCCAGATCACTGGAGGGCAGGGGAAGTTCAGAAAGAATGTAGTTGGTTGAGACATTCTCGGGATTCTGAGCTGAGGTCTGAAGTAGTTTTATGATTATAGGTATAGAACTGAAATAAGGTAGGTAATAGCTCTGGCTCATCTTTCTTACTTTGGGCTTAAAAGCCATTGATGACTCTGTACAGCCCCCTGAATAAATTTCAGGGACTTCAGCTTGGCAATCACAGCTTTCTTACTTAGGATTCAGGTTAGACTGCTGTTACCAAGACACAAAGATACCTTGGCTTAAACAAGATAATTTTTTTCTCTCACCTAATAGTCTCNTTCTAAGTAATACCAAATCACTTGTAAATTTCCCACATAATGTGCCCTGATCTGTGCTATTCTTCATGTCATGTATGCCCTCTGCTTAAAATTCCTTTTAAGGTAATAAATTAATCTCCCTCTCCCTTCTGAACCTCTCCTTCAACACTGGGCTGGATCACCAGCTCCTCCAGGGAATATCTTCTGATCTTGGGTTGGAGCTAACTGTCCCTCCTATGTTTCCATAGCTCACTGTCTATAATTTGTCCTAGCATGAAACGTCAGGTTGAAACTTACAAATGTATATACGTGCACGCATACACACCTGGAACATAGAGACTGGTATATCAGAAGCATTGCATGAAAGTCTGTGAAGGAATTTCTGTACAAGGAAGAGCCTCACTAACTTAAACTGGGCTGGATAGTTCTCCAGACTTATGAATGTTTTATGTCACCATCCCTGCAGGGACTACTTAGTTTACTTTTGCTCTAGGCTAAAAACAATGTTTGAGGAAAAACAGTAACATCACTCCCACCCTTGAAAATATTCACTCTAATTTGTTGGTAAGTAATGTAGGTAAATAGTTTCAAAGTCTACAAGGCTTTTGAAAAACAATGGTGGCTGCCAATGGGGGAGTAGAGAATGGGAGTTACTACTTAATGGGTACAGAGTTTCAGTTTGGGAATATGAAGAAAATGTTCCTCTAGTCCCTATTCCAAGAGGCAACCACTCTTATCTACAGTTCATTTCTTCAGAAAATAAATAGCCATTGTTTTAGGTGTGGCTGTGGGGATAGCAGCCTGGCCATTGGGCTCAAGGACCAAGTGATCTGGCCATTTTGTATGCAGACTGCTCCACCTGCATTCAGCCCTTTACCATCTGTAGTGTCTGTACTTCCAAGGGCAGAGCCTCCTTGGGGTCCTATGGAGCAAATAGGCTCATCTGTCTTCAGAAATCCACCTGTACCTATTTCAGGTGGTAACTATCTCCTCTCTGCTAGTTACTGTTCTTCCAGAGATGTACCTGAAGTTCAGGGATGACTCCGCCGGAAGAGTCCAGTATTTTGGGTTTAGTGCCCTCTATAACTGGAAGGTGGAGAAGTGGCTGTGTTTTTTCTCAAAGTCTACCCACAATCACACAAGGCACCTCCTTGCTGTGCCAGGTACGTAGTCCTATGTCCTATTTCTTGCTGCATCATTAGGCTGACAGCAGGCCTCATTTTGAACTTCCACATTTAGTTTCTCTTGAAAAAACTGTGGCAATACTGAACTTGGCATTCATTCCCTCATGGTAGCTGTGTCCTGGCTGTCCCAGTAGAGGGAGGTACAGTTGTGACATTGAATTTAAGGTTCAGAGACAGTGCCTGTAAAGTTTCTACCGATAGGCCTGGTAACGTACTTTACTCAAATGGAAGTTGTTCTTTTTAATAGTATCCTGGTTATTCAAAGGTTCAGAATTAAATTGTTAAAAAGTGTTTAGGGGAAAAGAAGGACCAGGCCTGAGATTTGTAGATTGGCTTAATTTAGGGGTTTAAAAAAAAAAATCTTGTCATCCTTGGCAATGAACTTGTATATACGGCATAGTGCAATGGTTATGATCATGGGCTCTGGAGCTAGACTTCCTAAATTTGAATCCTGGTGCTACCATTTGCAGGCTCTGTGACTTATCTTTTCTGTGCCTATGTTTTCTCATGGCTAAAATGGGGATAAAACAGTACCGACATAACTTGAGTTTTGAATGTGTGTGTGTGTGTGTATAAAATGTATATATAATGTGTGTACACACACACACACACACACACACACACACAAACACAAACACACAGCCAGAATAATATTAGACAAATACTAAGCATTATATGAGTGTTTGCTTTTTAAAAATAAACTTATAGGAGCACTTCACTTCTGAGTACATTGTTTTCTTTGAGTTACAGAAGGCTCCTGATTAAAAGAACACATTTGCTTTCTTGGTTGTCTTTCTGATTCTTCTTGTTAATGCATGAGCTCTGTTTCAAGTATTACAAAACCAAGTAATCACTCCACTTGGAAACTGAAACAGAGGTCATTCTAGTACCCACCTCAGGGGACTTCTGCTGTGAATAAGTCTCAGCTACTCTTAGTCCTTTCTCTTTTGTCTCTCTGCACCTGCTCCTACCTCCAACTTTTGTCCTCACCCCTCTACCCAGAGCCTTTTCTCTCCCTCATGCTGCCGCTCACCCATGATTTCTTTTTCACTCCTTTGGTGTGCTCATGAGCTTCATGACTCCAAGTGGCCCTGCTTCACCTTACGACTTTTCAGCCCCAACTGCCATCTAGCTCACTTCTGATTTCCCAATTCAAATCCCAAAGAGTATGGATCTATATGGGCAGAGCTTTTTGGCCTGGTAGCCTCATAGACCGTGGCCAGTCTGCTAGTGGTAGCTAGTGGTAGGGAAAGCTGAGGTAAAAAAAAACCCCACAAAAAACCTTACAAAAGTTCACAGCCTAGGCCTTCCCCTTTTAGTAGGTTGTAGGATGTAAGTGCTGGCATAGAGGTGAAGTGTCAAGTTGTGAATGTCAGGCAGGTAGGCTGCGACAGTAGATAAGACTCATCAAGGGTTTCCAGAGGGTGGAAGGGGAGCTGTTAAGATCTTTTCTGTGGTCTAGTAGTGAATATATAAGCAAATGTCAATTGATAGATCGTCAGTGTACTCCAATATACTTAATCAACTCCTATTTTAAACCTGTAACATATTTAATATATAGTATTTATAAGTGCAAAGCTCTGTTTTAAGAGCTTTGTATGTATTAACTCATCAAATCTTCATAACAGCTCTGAGTTTGGTATTATTATTATTATCCATACTTTACAGATGAAGAAACTGAGGGACGGAGAAGTAACCCACCTCTGGTCACATAGCAAGTAAGCAGCAGAGTCCGGATTGGACCCAGGCAGTCTGGCTTCACAGCCCCATATTACACTGTCCTTCACAGATGAGCTGGCCAGACTGAGCTATCTGAAAAAGCATAATCTTGAGTTTCTTGCGTTGCTCACTCTCAGAAACTTGTATAGTAAAA